AATTAATTTTCAATTAAAAAAAATTTCAATGTAGAATCAAATGAAGTTTCATGCAAATAAATCTTACGCTCTTCCTTTCGTGATCCAGGAGCAAAAGCATGCGATCTGCCTCTGTGTTTATGCTCTGAGTAATCAGACTGCAACAAAAGACATCTTAGTGCTTAAGGGAATTGACTTGTGGGGAAGGGAAACAATGAAAAGCCAAACATCCAACCCCTCCCGGATCCAGCTCCATCATCTGTTCCTATGAAGAGAGAACAAGAAGGTACTTGAACTGGAATCTAATTATTTGTGTCTCCATCATGGCTAAGCAAATAAGCGTGATGCAGAAGCACACCTGAAGGTAAGATCCTGCCATTTCAAAAGCACAACTTCTCAAAACTATACAGACTTGGAGGATCTGTATGGGAATGAAATGCCAACCCCATTAAAACCAAATTATACAAATAAGGCTGTCAAAGGGTTACAATGATGAATTTGCTACTACTTCAGCATAACTTCTCTGGAATGAAAGTTTTTTCCCCCCTTTATGCAAATGACTTTAATTTGCACTTCAAAGAAAGATCTGAGCGGAAATCATTACCTGAAAATAATCTGCTAGCATTTCAAGCCACTGATAACATTATTTGAGGCATGTCCTAAAGAAAATTCAACTGTTAATTAAAATGTCATCCTATTTCTAAGAGCCTTAATCCTCACTGTCTTTTTCTTTAATGGTTTCTTAGTACCAAAGCATGCTCTCATTCCTTTCAAAGTCTCAAACAGACAACAAAGCTAAAGAAAAGGCAGCAGGATTATACCTGATGTATGTAACAATCAGTATTTTTTTTATTGCTATCTCAATGCAGAAGACAAGCTTCGCAGAGATTTAATTCAAGATTTGATCTGTATCATCTCTGTTTGTTTTGAGGTCAGAAACAAAGACGACTTTTTCTCTGGCAGCTCTTATCACAAGGTTTGGGAGTCTCTGGTTTAGACAATACAACCACCTGCCTTTGAGCTGAGCTACTTCCTCCTAAGAACAGCCACTGTGATGGCCGGGAAGCTGGAGAGATTTATCTCATGCTGATAAAACACTGCCCATTTTGAGGGTCAGACTGCTGGCTGTTTACTTTCTTCTTTTGCAATTCACCCATTGTTTTCAAAGTGGAAAGTTTTTGGGGGGCCTGTTAGCTGTAAAATGCTAACGAGCTGAAATATCCGAGTGAAAACCTGAAATATCCAAGTGAAAACCTGAGGTGGGGAGGAATAAACCAGCTTGGAAAAAAAGAAAAGTAGCTCTCAAACAGTTGGCACGTTTGGGCAACTGCAGCAAGTGGATGACCAACCCCAAAACAACATAATTTATGCTCTGCAATGTACTACCCTGAAAAGAGAAGTGCTATAACCCTCAAGGGGTATTTGACTCTTCCACAGAAGGCAAAGAATTGCACAAGGGGTATTTTCCAAACCACATTTTTCTTGAAGTGAGGTTTACAACAAAAGACATTTCGACTTCCTGGAATCCCTAAAAAACCCTGTTTGTAAACAATCCTCAAGTTACCTCCCTGCTTCACAAAAAGGTAAATTTCACTCTGTTTTACAAAAAAGAAAATCAGAAGAAGCTTCCGCAGTGAACATAGTAAGGACTTCACTAACAACTACACATCTGGTTAGATGCTCTAAATCAGGAGTACAAGTTTCTGGAAGGCAAATGAATACCTCCATTTCATATGTACTTCTTGCCATCTGACTACAGCAAAGGCAGGCAGATTCCTGGCCTTTCCACTCCTTAGACTCTGAAGTTCTGAAAATCCAAGACAAATTTTACACAACTTTGACCCGTAAATACCAGAAAGGAGTTCTGGCCTAATGCAAGACTGTGAAAGACTCCAGTGCTTTGGAAGAAACACAGACTGTCTAGATGGAATAAATCCCGTATTTTGAATAGCATTTTAACATTAGTTACAGAATTCAAAGAAGCTGCTGGAGGATGGGGGGAAGAATCATAGAAGCCTGTCATTTTGGCAGAATTCAGAAGTAGTTTTGCAATAAACTCACACATGAACAAATAGAAATAGTAGAGATTGTAGAAGGTCAGTTTAAAGCATATTTCCATATTAATAAGCTTTTTAATATATATGTCAGCACAACCTAGCCAGAACTTTTAAACCACAATGCTGCTACATTGGGAAACATCGCAATTTTAACTACTGTATTATAATTTTTAACTCTTCATGGCACTCGCATAGGCAAAAACAATGATATTTTAAAAAGTGCTTGGAGGATTGGGTTGATCACAATCCTAGCAGAATTCTGATCTTTGCTATCAGGGGGTATAACATGCTTAAGAGTACTGACCTTCCCACAACCAATTTAGGTTCTTTTTGGTGGTGAGTACTAAATGTGGCACAGACACAAACAGAACAACCTTTACTTACAGAAGCTGCCATATAACCTGGTTTCAGAAGGCAATAACACTTAATTCTGGCAATCTAGTTATCTGTTTTTCAGTGTACAGCCTTCAAATTTTTGGCCTAGATGACTAAGGCAGCATAATCTACCACTTGAATGCCCAGAAAACCTATGACTCTTGCCACGTTGGCTGTTGCACCGGTGACCGTGATGGGTTACCTCTCTCTGCTAAGGATCAGGGGTCTGTGTGACCTTACAGCCTTGGCAGCTTCCTAGAAAGGCACTGATGAACACATGTTCTGGGCTCTCCTACAAGAATAAACTGGACCAAGTAGCGTGAAGGGCAGTAGGATATTGATTACTGTAATATGGGGATCTTCTAATGGAGAAAAGTGGATGCCCCAAGAGCCTGCAATAACTCCTACCCACTAGCACAATGTATTCCATAGTTTTATCTCATCTTCTCCACATAACACTGCTGGCCATCTGGTTCACATAAGACAAAGACTATAATGTAGCTGTGAGCAAATTGGCTAAAACCAGCAAAGACAATACTGGGGTTCAGCAACTAATCAGCAAGGACTACCCTGTGGCTGTTAGTCCTTCCCAGCCAGAGCTCACGGTCTCAGATGGTACCAGTGAGAACAGCTGCTCTCAACAACATGCAGGAACAGTTTTTTCCTCATCTTCATTCCACTTTTACACAGCCACAAGAGCTTCTTAGTTAAACAAGATCCTTTGTCCTTGTGCATTCCCTTTTACTTATTAAACACCTTTTGTTATTCTTGAGCCTATAGGGCTATAATGAAATCTAGTATTGCACACGGTATTATTTCTGTACCCTGACCGGAAGGTTCTGTCCTCCTTGCACCCTGCAAAGTTCCAAGGAGCTGAGGTCCTGTAATAAACAGCACAGGATTTACACAAACTGCCTTCCTACAGCCTGCCCACAGGACCTCTTAGGCACTGGTAACACAACCATCTTTTCTGCAGGCAACACACAGAGACATTCCCCCAGGAGCTTTCTCAGTTCTACCCTGACTATTCTATCTTGTTGGGACAATATTGAGGCAAAGCCCATTCCAAACTTACTCTTCATAAGAATGAGTTTCACTTATTATTCATATGATTCACTTATTTTTAAGAGATATAGCTCAGGCCTCTAAGCAATGGCATGACTAGCAAGAAGCAGACATGCTGGAAATAACCCAAATGTCTTATCTGCCACTGTGAAAAACACCACTGAACTGCTGCGATAGCTCGAGATGAAAACATTGCAGAAATATGCACAAATATTGCAGCATTCTTTCTCTAGACTTCAATTCAACTCCCAACCCATTCTTCTTCCTCATTGTGAATGCAAATGAGGGTAGAAGCATGTGGAAAACATCTGCCCGTTACATTCTTAGCTGCCCATTTTGAAAAACCTTTCCTTTCACATATTCCAAAATAGTTTAATCACAGACAGATGGCCAATCCAGCCGTGGCAGGTGCATCAGTTTAGTCAGTGTGCCAAAAAGCAACACCTGACCTCTGCTCTGCTCAAAATCTCTCTCTCTGTTGCCTGGCATCAAAATTGCATTTACTGAAATCCATAAGACTGCTACAGGGTACAGAATCATTCATACAAAACAAAAGCCCTGGAAGATGATGGAAGGCTCCTGCACAAGAGACCAATTTGAAGCTGTAGACATTGTGGAAATTTAATATCCAGTCATTTTAGGAATTCTTAGCCCAGGTAAGTCCATGCCTCAGTGCAGAAATATTAATGTCAGCATATAAATTGCAGAATTTCTCCATCTGCCCTTTCCTTAAGAGTTTCGACTCTTTGTAATGCAGACGACACACTGCAAGTGGAAGAAACCTCCTGAATGGAATAGCATCTTTTTCTTTTTCTTCTGCAGTATGTCTGCCTGGCTTGCAGTTCCTGTAGAAATATTATCAAACACTAACTTGATTATGAGTCTGACTGGAAACATTCAAGTCTCTGAGAACTCTCCCCCAGTGTGCAGACTCTGCTTATACTCTGGTTAACAATTTACCACTTGCTTTCACATATTTTTCCCTATCATCTTCCTACTTTTGTTCAATATCTCATACCAAAAGAGCAACCTCCTCCATCTTACAAAACACAAATTCATCTTCCTTTTGTATCCCCTGAAAAGTTACCTAAAAATTATATATAAGGATATCTTAAAACCTTATATAAGCAGCCATCAAAAGCACAGTAGTGTCCCGAGGAAAGAATATAGTGATGTCCTACAGGTAACTCTGCCCCAGACACACCTACCCCTCTTTCTCTCCTTTTCAAGTTTTAAATGTGTGATTTCATAAAAGCCTTTTAACTGTGTAAAAAAAAACCCCACATTTGGACTTCCAGGAATAAAACAAACAACAACAACAACAGTGAAATAGTAAGAGACTCTTGACCTTCCAAAGAACGCTGGCATCCTGGTTGGAACAGGGAGGACCATAGGAAACATACGTGTTCAGCAGAAGTTTCCAGGAAAGCAGGATTATTTATTTCTTTATTTTAAAACTGGAAAGTCAAAATGAAAGTGCAACTAACTGCCAGATGAGGGTGTGGTGCTTGAAGACAAAATGCAATGTGTCAGACAAATTCAGATCATTTCACTGAAGCACATCTCAATTGCAGGACCTGCTACTAGTCTGCTGACAAAAGAAGGTTAGTTTTGTTTTAATACTTACTACTCTGTATATTAATTGTGATATACTTACTTATATAAAGAAGAATAAGGATTTGCTCTTAGTTAAATTGGCTTTACAGGGAGACAAAACTTCACTAAAGGCACATCCTCATTTCCAGTCTTAAAATTTGATTTGTTCAGTAGTAATTAAACAGAATACTGCTTAATTTATTAAAGAAAAAATATGTCTGTTTAAAGAGGGGATATTAGCTTCATCCAACAGGCATTCATCCAATCCTGTGTTAAGTTTAAACACACAGAAACACTAAATTTGTACCTAAATGGAAAGCTGGAATAATAATTCTGCAAGAAAACATGCAAAGCTGTCTTTTAATATACCTCCTAGAAAACAGGATTTGAAAACAGCCAACGTTCTGAACTGTCGGGGCACTTGTGGGCAGTTTTGTATGTGCTAAGTTTCCTTTCTGTGCATAACATCCTGAGCAGTCCCCAGCTGTCAGACACGGTGTCCCCACGGCACTTTGATTCTGTAAGAAATTCCCCGTGGCCACAGGGCGGCTCGCTGCGTGGGACGGAGACTGAACTGAGCCTGTTCCCCCGCTGCGGAGCCGTACGGCAACTTGATGCAATGGGCAAGAAACAACATTCTGAATAGGTGTGTTAGCCAAAGCAGAACTGTGCTTTTAAGGGAGAAATATCAATTGCATTGGAGATAATTTTGTTTCTGTCAAGAACTCAGGTCAGCCAAAAGCATCTCAGGCAGCAGGGCATGTTCCTCCTCACAGCTGTGTGATACACAAACTTCCTGAAGTTTGCACTGAAATACTGTTTTGCCTTCAAGCAAATTTGCCAGTGATCCAACTTGATTAAGCATTCCCAGGTGGATTCTGCAATAAGTGTTTAGGACCTCAACCAAATCTGCTCAGTTTAATTTTCTTCTAATCTTGGCTAAGTGGATTAAACTCTCCCTGCAGCAGTTTCTCTTCTACTGAAAGAAGATACATCTGCTGCTGCTGTCTGAACCTCTCTGCAAAGTACTCTGAAGCTGCAGATGACCCTTGCTGAAAAATCCTACCAACAGCTCGTTAGGCATAGACTAGACATCCCTTGTGGAACTAATAAATGGAATTACTGTATCTTTCCATTCTGCGTTCCTCATTTAGGGAAGTATAAATGACACATTACAAGACTTAAAATAAGAGTCATCATTGTTTAAAGTTTAACAGGAAGTGTTTTGAAATGTTAACAGAATAATCCACAGTCATTAAGGATAAAGCCAAATCAATTTCTAACTAACACACTTTTAAAACAATTTAAATAGCAGATTCACTGAAAAAAAAAGAAATTAAGCAAAACCAGAAATTATTGATGTCTTCCTATTTAATTGGTCTGCATCCCTGAATATGAGATCTATCAGTAACTTTTTTCACCTGGTAGACAGAATATATTAATATTTTTTTTAAGAGCTAATGTTTATAATAAAGGTTTGGCAACCCTTCATTTAAACTCTTGTGTAAAAACCAAAAATGGTATTTGAAGTTTTTTCAAGCTTGAAAAAGCTCTGGGGCAGAATATCAGATAAGAATCTGTTTTCAGTAACATTGGCCTCAAATTCTGAAACATTGCAGATGATGAGAAAGGGGGAATGTGATTTTTATTCCCAGCTACTTTTTGATACTGCTTTTAAGAAATCCTAATCCCATTTATTTCAAGAAAATAGGGCACTGCAGAACTGTAGTTTACAATGGAAAAAAAAAAATAATCAGCAAATCAGTCAATGAACACAATTACAGGAAAAGAAGAAAATACTGTAGGACGTGACTTGCTTAAGACAGTCTGAAGATAAGAACACTCAAACTTCAACCCTAAGCTGGCAGTTAGAGTACAGCCTTTGTGCTTACGGAGTAAATCTCTCATGAGATAGCACTTGGAAAAACAGCAGAGCTTCTGAGCTGTTTGGGTACTTGTGGGCAGTTTTGTATTTGATAAGATTCCTTCCCGTCATAACATCCTGAGCAGTCTCCAGCTGTAAGATGAAGTGTACCCACAGCAATCTGATCCTGTAAGAAATTCCATGTGGGCATGGCTCGCTGTGTGGGAAGGAGACTAAACTAAGCCTGTTCAACTGCTCTTCTGCAACTGACTGCACCGCTGTGCTTTATGTAATGGGCATATATATATGTGTGTATATTGCACTCATGTCTCAAATTTGCCAAAATTTATGATAGCAAGATGTTGCACTCATATCTCAAATTTGCCAAAATTTATGATAGCAAGCACAGAATACTACTGCTTGCCTCTCAGCTTCAAGCTGTTAGTATTCCTTATCCACTCTATTGTAATAGCATTTACAGCCTTGAACTGGTACTCCTTTGCTTTGCAGAGGCTGTAGAGAGGAAGGTGTCATTTCAAACCTATGAAGGTACAGAGAAATTTATTTTGCAATGCAATAGCATCAAACGTAACTAAGTCAGAGCAGTTTAAGCAATGATGGCTCATCAACTGAAATGTGGAAACCAGTGAGGTGCACTCCAAGTATCTTGCAATCTCAAACAGTGAGGTTAATGAAAGCATTTCAGTTGAATTCATTTTATTTTTCATTGCATATACAATGTCAGTTACCCATTTCATGTGAGAATTTGTAATGGTCTGGTCTGCCTCCATCACTGTCTAGGTCTGCTTTGATTATTTACAAGTGTATTCTCAATATCCAAATTCTTTAAACTTGAGAAGTATAAACAATCCTGACCAACGGGTTTAGGTTTCAACAAAAATTTTAAAACTTAAAACCAGTATTATAACTTTAGTGTTCCCTACTCCTCTGCTTTTTTTTTTTTGTGTGTGTGTGTGTGTCTTGTAGCATTGCCATGAGCTGGGATATGAATAACTCGACTGATTACTGGATTGAGGATGAGGAGAATCATCTCAACTCTGGTATAGATTACAATACATATGAGCTCCTCTGTGAAAAAAGTGATGTGAGAAATTTCACTAAATTATTCCTCCCTGTATTCTATGCATTGGCTTTCACTGTTGGAGTGGCTGGAAATTCATTAGTGGTTGCAATTTATGCCTATTGCAAGAAACCGAAGACTAAGACAGATGTGTACATCATGCATCTAGCCATTGCTGATTTGCTTTTGCTCTTTACACTCCCTTTTTGGGCTGCAAATGCAGTGCAGGGATGGGAACTTGGAAACTCCATGTGCAAGCTCACTTCTTCTCTCTACACCATGAATTTCAGCTCTAGCATGCTGCTCCTGGCCTGTATCAGTGTGGATAGATACAGGGCCACTTCCAAATCCCAGGGTCAGAGAAGAATTGGTAAACGCTGCAGTGGTACCTGCATCTGTGTCTGGCTATTTGCCATTTTCTTCAGTATCCCTGAACTGATATTTAATGAAGTCAAGAAACACAACGACAGGAATGAGTGCCTTCCTGTATTCCCAATGAACATGGAAACAGTCTTAAAAGCAACCATTCAAATCCTGGAAATCATCCTGGAATTTCTGCTTCCCTTCCTAGTAATGCTGATCTGCTATTCTGCTACTGCTCGAGCAATCTTTAGATCTGCAAACACTAAAAAATCTAGACCTTTCATGGTTCTGCTGGCAGTAGTGGCTACTTTCATTATTACCCAGCTACCTTACAACATCGTTAAGTTCTGGCGAGCCATAGATATCATCTACATGTTGATTACCGACTGCGATACAAGTAAAACCATCGATGTCGCGCTCCAGGTCACCAAGAGCATAGCTTTGTTTCATACCTGCCTGAACCCTCTTCTCTACGTATTTCTGGGTGCCTCTTTTAAAATGCATATTATGAAAATCGCAAAAAATTATGGACACTGGAGAAGACAACAACAGAATGGAAGACCTGAAGAAATTTCTATGAATTATGAAGATCATACTGAAGAAACAATTAGTTTCACTATATAGACTCTCCATTACTTTTATTATCTTCTATAACCAGGGGAACTATTTACTAATTCTGGGGGCATCATTTCAACAGCTGTTTCTCTGCAAGTGAACTTTCAGATTAATTTCTGAACCTGCAGACTAGCGAAGTGGACCATGCTGATCACAATTAAGCATCAAGCAAGAATACTGGAATGCCTAGAAACAACTAGAGATATCTACTACAAAAGGAAAAGAAAAGAAAAAAGAAAACACAATAAAACTCAAACACCTAAAAACCTGCAAGATTTAAAAGTGTCACAGTACAAGGCAATTACATAGCTGTGTAATGAGCAACCTGTACATGTCTAAACATCTAATTAAAACAGAAAAGAAAAACCATCAGCAATAATACAGCAGTAACTTTTGTACCAAAAGTTAATAATCTTGTGTTCCTCCAGCTATTTTGTACAATTTTAGAACATTTGTCTGAGTTCCAGTTTTTTCCCCTCAGCTATCATTCAACAGATACCGTTGCAGCTTGAGATGAGATACCAGTTCCTGGCTGAGAATTGCTGGGGGGCACGGGCGGGGGGAGATTCGCTGTGTGTTTCCACTTAATGTATAGCAGCAACAACATCCTCTACAAAAAACTGCAACTCTTTCTCTGTAACTACCAAAAATGACCTTTCATCTTTCCTTTCCTGCTCACCCTAAACTATTTTACATGTCAAATATAAGAAGTGCCAAGGTAGTGCAGCCAAAGCATTAGCAGAAATGTAAGGAAAAGTTAAGTTAATCTTCATATACAAAGCCTGGAATTTCTAGTCAGAATTTGTAAGACGAATCAAACACTGCAATAACTGTATCTGCTAAAATATATGGAGACAATAAAAGCCAAGAAGTGCACTGGCTGTCATTTATTCTTATCTTTATGTTTGTTTTGTTTTAATGGGTATTGACATCTCTCCTCACAGGCATTTACCAACCAGCAAAGGCTAGAGGCCTTGGTTGATGAATGAGAGAGGTTCTCACCCTATATGGAGTTCATAGTTGGTGGGATTTACAGTTTTTCCCACTAAGAGGTACCGAAGCTGTCCCCTGCCACAGTGCTGGCAAGAATTCCAGGAAAACAGCAGTTTTCCATAAGTCTCTGGAAGCATTTGAAATATATTGACATATTAGCTTTCAATATGAAAAAAGTGGTATTGGAGCATACTGTCCCGTGGGCTCTGACAAAATGCCTCTTCTATGGCTTATGAAAGCCAACAAGAATTTCTCATTTTTAGGCATTGTTCCTAGTTACACAATTATGGACTGGAAGAAAAAAATCTAAAATGTCAGACAAGAAACGACAGTAGCATAAACAAGACACAAGCCTCTTGTCTCTGGATGACAACAGCTTACAGAATTTCTGCCCAGTATTTTGAGAAATACTAGGGTGTGAATGGGCAAGTCAGAAGTGTTTGGCAGATGGTCTACACATACGTCATAAATCTGACATATTTAAGCCTTACTGGATTTACTGTCGACATGCAAAGCACCCAGCAGGCAGATCACAGTAAGAAACTCCAGTTCTTCCATGAAACAACTTGATTCCTTACATGTGTGATTTATGATCTGTTGTCACAAATACAGAATGTTTGCACCCAGAGTGACATTCTGACTGGGCGGTCAGGCTTCTGGAATTCCCAAAGTCCTAATGTTCTGCTCAGAGTAACAAGGAAAAAAACACACCAACCAAAAAACCAAAAACCAAAGCAAAGCAAAGCAAAAAACCCCACCCCACAAAACAGCCAGGCAGAAAAAGAGACTCTGACCAAGGCAGAACTGCATGTATGTGTTTCTCAAACTTGTTGAAATTCTCAAATACCTTTTGTGCTTCTGTCTTCACGCGAGTCTGTCCTCATTATTTTTGATAGAAATAAAACAAACCAAATCATACTTACTGTCTTATGTTTACTCTCCTTTTTATAATAACTAATTTTAGGAATAATATTTTGCGTGTGTGACCTCCTACAAACTTTCCCATTAATTCCTTAGGAACTGCAATGCACAGCTGAGACACAGACCCAGAGCAAAGGGAGCAGCCAGCAGTTAAGTGACACTCTCAGGTCAAAAGACAAAATACCATTCCTCCTTTTGCCACCAGTTTTGCAGTACTAGAGAAGAGAGCAAGCCCTATCTTCTGGTGAGTCTAGGTATTGCACAAGCATATTATCAGTAGGCAGCTGCCACACTCAAATGTACCTAAATTAAACATTCAATTCTCACTCTAGTTCATAACTCAGTTTGTGTAGCTGGCTTCCAAACTCCCAGGGAATGATGATTTTCAAGTCGCTGTCATGTATGTTCTGCTAAAAAAGTAATAGCACTACAATATCAGGGACATTTACCCCTTACAGTCTAATCCATTTTCTGGGAAGTACAGTGTAAGAAAATTACCTCTAACAGTCAGTCTAACAGCATCACAGCCAAATTTTACTGGAACTATACTGTGTGCTCAAACCTCACACACAAACTGCCAAAAACAGCTTCATAAAAACAAAGTTTAAAGAATATGGCCATAAATGTGTAAATTACCTGATGGAAAGAGGTAATGTTTACAGAACAATAGTTGCATTCATTCTGTGAATTAAATTCAGAGGTTCTAAAAAGAGCCCAAAAGCCCAAATTGGATTTGAGTCTTGGACTTTGCCTCACAGAACAGAAGTTCGATCCATCTCTTTCTGTTGTTTTACATTCTACTATTTCTTTACCCAAGAAGAGAAAACTGTCCATCTCAGAAATGGAGCACAAATATTTTTGCTTTATCAGTTCTTGGAAAGAATTTTAGACTTAGCCATTCTTATTCAGGGTTTCCTTACTTACCGCTGCTCCACCACTTCTTGCCGTTGATGACGTAACTGTTCCCATCTCGCTCAATGCTGCACTGCATATTGGTGGCATCACTTGAAGCCACATCAGGTTCTGTGTTAAAGAAAAAAAACAAAACAAACCACTGGATTAAATACACAGGTAGTACTAACACCACAAATATAGGGATCTATATATACTCTGGAGCCATTCTTATTTAGGGTTTCCTTACTTACCACTGCTCCACCACTTCTTGCCGTTGATCACGTAACTGTTCCCATCTCGCTCAATGCTGCACTGCATATTGGTGGCATCACTTGAAGCCACATCAGGTTCTGTGTTAAAGAAAAAAAACAAAACAAACCACTGGATTAAATACACAGGTAGTACTAACACCACAAAAAAACCAAAACAAACATTAAAATTAAATACACAGGTAGTACTAACACCACAAATATAGGGATCTATATATACTCTGTTGACAGTAACACTGGTTTGCTCCCAGTAGAAAAGCTGTTTTCAGAATCTTGTTCTGCTGGTGATCAAAGGCTTTCTATTTTCTAACAACCTGTTATTCATAGCCAGTTTAAACTTACTTCTTCTTGGGTTCAGAATACTCTTTATACTCCACAGCCTTCCTCCTTCCCTGATGTTTTAAAATCCTTTCCCCTTCCAATGTACTTACAGGTAACAGCCATATCTCTCCTTAACTTTTTATTTACCCTATGCTTTTCTCCAAAATACTTTTGTGATGGTTTATGAAACAGATTACACAAAGCAGCTGCCAGCAAATTGTCATAAATATAGGGATCTATATATACTCTGTTGACAGTAACACTGGTTTGCTCCCAGTAGAAAAGCTGTTTTCAGAATCTTGTTCTGCTGGTCTTCAAAGGCTTTCTATTTTCTAACAACCTGTTATTCATAGCCAGTTTAAACTTACTTCTTGGGTTCAGAATACTCTTTATACTCCACAGCCTTCCTCCTTCCCTGATGTTTTAAAATCCTTTCCCCTTCCAATGTACTTACAGGTAACAGCCATATCTCTCCTTAACCTTTTATTTACCCTAGGCTTTTCTCGAAAATACACTTTTGTGATGGTTTATGAAATAGGTTACACAAAGCAGCTGCCAGCAAATTGTCATCAATTATTGATTGTAACAGGAAAGATTCTTCCTCTCCCTTTTCACCCATAACTTTCTCTGTAAGCCATTTTCTTTAAAGCAAAAGCATCTGTTTGCTCTTGGCAAACACAGTGAAATGGAATTTGCAAAATAAAGGTCCAGCTCGGCCAGACTGAGTTGTCTCAATTTCTGCTGACACAAAAAGATCAAGATTTTTGACATCATGTGTTCAAAAGCTACCTTCCTAAGTCAGGATTTCCACAGATCTTGAATGCTACAAGCTTCAAGAGCAAAATTTAATACAATACTGAGCTACAGACATAAAGCAAGTGCATCATATGTTTTACAAGTTGTCTTCAGGTTATGTCTTAAAACCTCTGCTTATGGCACACTGCAAAACTACACAGCTTAAATCATAGTAAACACACCTGTACCTACATGTATGTTTCTAGAGAACCCCAAAGCACATTAGAAAGAAGGGCAAGTTCTATTGTATAAAATGTGTTTTATTAAAAATAAATTGAAAATATACAGAAAGCAAAAACTAATTATTGTAACCATGACAAATGGTAAGTAGCAGGGAAGGGCAGCAAGGATGCTTCACTTTGCACTCACACCTCATAGATGATTTCACATTCAAACACATTCACAGATGCATCAGAAATTTCTGTATTCATTAACACAGAACAACTTGTAGTTTTGTACTTTTTGTATGTGCCATGTGAAATTTCTGCCACTTGCCTCTAACTTGCATAGGGAGAAAAATTTACCTGTCATGCAGAAGCAAGAACTAATCTTCCCTTCTAGGAGAGGCTCCAGCCACTTTTTCTTTTGCTCTTCAGTCCCATACATGTGGAGGACCTCCATGTTTCCAGTGTCTGTAAGAAATCAGCAGTCATGTTTACTTCTTGAGACACAACTTGTAAGGTGCAAGGTGCCCAGCTTTTCAATGGGACTGTTGTTATGGGACAGGGTTGCTAACCTGGGGCTTGACAGTTGAAAACCTCAGGAGCAAAGAAGCATTTCCCCGTCTCCTCAGCTATCAGCGCATAGTCCAGCTGGCTGAGGCCACTGACATCTGGGAGAAAAAGGTTCCACAGACCTTCTGCTTTGGCCATTTCCTGTTGAAAGAATCAACAGGGAGAAACATTAACAATAAATCTTTTTTTTTTAAAATTAAGTTCTGGCTTGCTGTCCGTTTTCTTCCTTCCTGCCTAACAGGCTGTCCAGTGTAGCTGATGCCTTTTTTCCATAGCTTTACTCAACAGGTACAGTATTTGACTTCAAGTTCTGACATATCCCTCAAAGAACTCACTTCTGCTTTTCTCCTGTCTCATTCATCTCTCTTACCTCCTTTTGCACACTTCCCTCTCCCTTTCAGGGTAACTTCTCCAGCAGCATACACCAAACTTTCTTACACTCCATGTCAGTGCCTGTTTCTTTTACTGCGAGAGTGCTCAAGGATATTTATTATCCCATACCTTCAGTCTCTCAAGCACTGGTGGTTTCTTCCACTTGTCCTCTGTATTTTCATGTCCGGAATAGTATTTTATTATTTCCTTAGGGAAACAATTAAGAAGTTGCTGTTTAAATTAAGAATGCACGAAACAAACATAAGTAATAATACAGTGTCTTTTCCAGCACTAGAGCCCAAAAAAACAATAAAAAATATAGTTGGATGCATTATAAAATTAAAAATAGAATTCAAAATCAGACTGCAATCTATTAATTTTGCAAGACTTTAAATGCGTCATGGAGATAACCCTAATCAGTACCTTATTTCATACATGGAAAGGGTTTGGAGTGACCTAAAATATGTGATGACGACAGTAGAAAGTTAGTGTTTTCTCATGACACAAGTAACTATTACCAGCAGTACACACAAAAGCCATAAACCCAAAAGTAAAACAAAAGCCTGATGTACTGACA